ATTATTCTTAAGACTTTATAGTTTAATAATAAGACTTTACAGTGTAAGTCTCAGGCTTTTTACACTTTGTTTATGCTGTCCCCGGAGCCCATCGTTGTGTGGTACGAGATTGGCTGATTTTATTGTTAATTTTCTTCTGATAAATAGGAATTTGCCAATTAGTTAACTTAAGAATGACATGAGTGTTCTTACTGTGTACGTATCTATTTATTTTCTGAAAATTTGTCATTTATCAAAAGTAGGTGGAGCAAAAATTGCTGCAACAGTGTTATTAATTCCACAGCCAAGCTAGAAGTGCAATGTAACTTGTATTATGCTCAAATCATACACTACACAATGTATGTTTAATTAAGCCACAATGCTCCTACTTTATCGTTTTAACATTTGTCTGATGCCATATGATTTTAACTCTTTAAGCTGCAATGCTTAATATGCACTGCCCTTGATGTGTAAAATTGTCTGATGATAGACACTGACAGAGTAAAAGAATAAAAGAGCACATTGAGATATGTTAGCCTATTATCTCCAATTAGCTTATTTAAACTGCATGACTAAATTTGGCTGAACATTACATAATTGAGAGAAAGTAGTTTAAGCTGTGTGTATATATTTATATATTGTTGTTATTACTATGTGTTGATGAAAAGATTACACATAAAAATATGAGGATAATTCATTGATACAGTATCATATTTACATTTAATATCATTGATATAACGTTATTGTATTATGTACCTGACTATTTCTTTCCTTCACTGGCAATCTTCAAGCAGAGACGGATTTTCATATTTTCGTTCGGGGTGTGTGGATAAATATCTGGGGGGGGGGGAGGGGTGCTGTTTGCTTTGAAAGGCCGGGGCCTGGTGGCAACACCCGGAAAGGCCAAGGAAAAGTTTAACAAAATTTGTTTTCTAGGCCTGCATGGTGAGATCTGATCATCTGAGACCATAATATTGGTAATTTTACAAATTTAGTAAGAATAATCAAATATGAAACTATCAAATCAAAATATATATAATTTGCGGGAGTGCCAAGACTTTTGGGGGCGGTGCCAAATGCCTCTGGAGGGTGCAAATCATTTCTGGGGGGGGTTCCCACCCCCGAAAAATCTGTGCCTGTCTTCAAGTCTTTTCATAAAGCTTTCTTTTTCTGTGTACCCTGACTTATCTTATATTTATTTACAATATCCTTAGCAAAGGAAAACATCTTACAGTTACATATAATTTGACTGAACATTCTCTAAACATAAAGATTGACATTCCATGGAAGTTTCTACATCACAGTTTTGAATAATGTTGCACCACAAGTTTGTCACAAGAGGAGAAGTTAGGACTTCATTCACAATTGTGTCTACTGGTAGACAGTAACCTTGTCTTTATTTGATGTGTGTTTTAAATATTAACTCTGACACCTTGCAATGCTTACAATCCATGAGTGTGGTGACCAAAGTCCACCCCTCAACAAGGATGAAATGTATTTATTGGCCTCTGTGTCCTGTCGCATTGATGACATCGAGGCTTGGACTTCTTTGTTCCAGGAAGAATTGCTCCTATAACAGTTCTTGCTTCTCTGGTATAAAGATCTTATCACATATCCAGTCAAATATGATAATGGTCCAAGCTCCTGAGGTGACAAAGACAATTCTTCCTAAAATTCAAACAAGAATCTATGATTAATTATTCTAATTACATTTGGTTGGCTCTGAGAGTGAGACTGCCCTTTGGTGGCACAGAAATATTATCTTAGATGCTTCCCTTGACAGGTAAAATCGCCTGGCGTTAAACAGAGTAAATACTAAAGTAGGGCATACGTTATACAGTTTTTCGTCAACCAACTGAACCAAGTGTGGACCGATATCACGTATTAATTCGGCAACTTTTTCTACTAATATCACTGTTTGAAATGTAGAAGATCCCTCACCGAATTCTGCAACATGTTTCATACTGCGTCGCGGTGTCTTGTCAGGCCGCCTTTGGATTTGCAAACTTTCTCACAGAAACTGCAAATCTGAAAGGAAACTGTTTCTTTCCTTCAATCTAGAGACGATGTATTGAAAGGGAAAATATTCATTAGGTAAATATCTATGTTTACAGTAATATATGTATAAAAATCATCGTCTAAATTTTATATTTCATACCTCTTCAAGCGCTTGTTGAACTTCAATCTGAACTTCATCCACGTCCATCTCGCGAAGCGCAGTTGTTTACTCTAAATCGTCCTCAAAGGTGAACAAGAGCTTTCTAAACGCTCAGTATCAATTTCCTCATCTATTTCCATGATTCCAAACCTTAAACGTGCATTTTCAACGACCATTTCGAACGGCTTTAGCAGTATGACTTCGCTTCACTTGAAATTGATACTATACACAGCGTCAGCAATTTGGGTTATCACACATAAAAACGTCTCAAAAGTTGCCACTTACGATGGAGATTTGCGATAAAACCTTGTATTCCACCCAAACCTCGTATAACGAGCGAAAATTAAAGATTTCTAAGTTGTCAATAGGGAATTGTATTATAGAATCACGCCATGATGCACTATAACTGTCACGTGATGCCCTCTATCGAGTTCAGCTCACGAAAGGGGGCGTTATCCTTTGAAGTTTGCCGGCCTTCCAAACCCTCTCATTATATTAACTATGGTCCAGCATAAACAAGCTTTTTTCACAGTTACTACAAAATTGATGGCTACGTCTATACCCTCACTTTGTGACATGTAACTATAATTTTAGCAAATTACAAGACATTTTATGTAGATGGTTTAAAGGAAAATAATATGGGTTGTGCATTTATCGCTTTTTCCAACTTTTTTTTGCTTTAATTTAATGAAGCTTAAAATCACCATTATTAACTTCGTGCGTAGTATTTTTGACTAAAATATGTCGCCATTGTTGTTCTTGTAGTGTGCGCATAGTAGGAACCTTATAACTTCACTTTTAGCGATTTCAGAAGCATCTTTTTTTATATATTTTGAACAAGAAAACAATGGACTGTGCACTTATTGCTTTTTCAATGTTCTTTTTGCTTTAATAAAGCTGAAAATCACCATTAACTTCGTGCGTAGTATTTTTGACTAAAAAATGTCGCCATTGGCATTGTTGTTCTCGTATAGTATGTGCCTTTATTTATAATACAATACTGTAATATGCACTTATACTTGAAACCCCGTATACATAAACGTTTTAAACAAGTTTCAGAACATCATCTTATATATAGTTTAGTTAAGGGATGTCCACTTATCGCCTTCAAAAGGTCTTTCAGTCATTTGATATTATTTAAGCGAAAAATCGCCAATGTCAATAATGAACTGCTTAATAAGATTTTTTACTGATAGATGCCATACAAAAAAGGATTTTCGTCTTTTTTCGAGAGCAGCAGTTTAAAGTAGGGAAGGCTGAAAGTACGAAACGAAAACTAAGGGCCTGTTTATATGGAAGCCGGGCTGGCCCGCTAAGCGGGACAGCCTGGTAAGCGAGATCTCGCTTGTAGTTATTTTTATAGTAAAAATTATCGTGCGTTTATATGGACAAGCGGGCTGGCCCGGTTGCCGAGATCTCGCTTGAAAGAGGCGAGATCTCGCTTACCGGGATGAAAAATTCTCCATATAAACACTCACAAGCGGGCCAGCCCGGTTGGCAGGATAAAATTTTTAATAGTGCGCATGCGTCAAATCCATGTGTTCATGTCAAAATGGCCGAACTGCACGTGATTAGTGAACGTTCAACAGGGGGAAAGAAAGCGAATAAAGTCGAGAAAAAAGCCCAAAGAAAAAACTTCCGATGGGAGACAGACATGATTGAGCATTTGATCGATTGTTTATTGGAGTACAAGTCCTCAATGATGTACAAAAATCTCGATTTCGATGCTGACAAACCGATGCAATACAGAGAGCTTCGTTTAGCAATGGCCACTATTTATGAGGAAGATATCTCCGTGTTTGGGCCGCTTGCACTAACCCCATTGCCAAGTAATTTCGAGCAACTTTCAAAGGAAGATAAAGCTAAAGCCAAGTTGTTGCAAAAGAAATCTAAAGAGCTCAGGGCCTTTTTTAAGGATTTTCCCGTGGGGGGGCATTTTTTGAAAAGGGACCTTTCTGTGAGATAATATAGTAGAGGGGGATAGCAATGGCTGAAAGCCACGTGTGTGGCAAATATACCACGCATGAATGGTGGGTCTGGAGTGTACTCCCCCAGAAAATTTTTGAAATTTGACTCCCGGAAATGTCATTTCCTGCATTCTGAGCATCCAAATTTGCTCCAAAATTTATCCTAACTATATTTGTATTTGAAATAAATAAAGGAAGAAACACACAAAAAGTAAAAAAAAATTAACCATCATTTATCATTACTTATTAGAGGAGGATAGCAATGGTCAGGTGTGTGGGGGTGTACTCCCCAAGAAAATTTTTGAAATTTTAACCACGGAAATGCCATTTCCTGCATTCTGAGCATCCAAATTTGCTCTAAAATTTATGCTAACTATAGTTGTATTTGAAATAAAAGATGGAAAAATGCACAAAAAGTAAAAAAGAATATTAACTGTAATTTATCATTACTTATTAGAGGGATAATCCCAAGAAAATGTTTGAAATTTGAAACCGTGAAATGCTATTTTCTGCATTCTGAGCATCCAAAAAATAAAAAAAAATATTAACAATAATTTATCATGGCTTAGTGGTAAAAAAAGTAACAATTTAAATCGGTTTTGTTAAACAAGAACAAAGGATAAAGCCTAAAACTTACTTTCCGTTTATCTATTTGTTAATCTTCGCTGGATTGTTTGTATAATTTTAGGAAAAAGGGACTTTTCCTGGGGGGGGGGGCAAAATGTAATTTCGTGGGGGGCACAAGGGCGGACTGGGAGGCAAATGCCCCCCCCCCCAGCTTGTATGTTAAAAAAGGCCCTGAAAGAGCTAATAGACAAAGGAATAAAGTGAATAATGGAAAAAGTCAAAGAGATCAGCCAGAATTTTGCGAAGGCTGTTGTCGCAGGAAACAGAAGTGGAAGCGGTAAGATTGTATACGAATTTTACGAGAAACTAATTTTAATATGGGGTGGATCAGCTGATATCAAGCCTCTTCCTTATGGTATGACAGCAGATGATCTTGTGGAGGAAAGCAGTGCTGAAGATGATTCCAACTTTTTCAACTATGACGAAATTGATCGGGAAATACTGTTAGCAGAGGAAAATGAGAAAGAAAATGTTCAAGAGGATGATTTTGAAAAGGAGGGTATGGAAGAATCCACCAGCACAAGCGAAGTTGTTCCAAGTAAGCGAAAGGGGAACTGTGTACCTCAGTTGATTGATAACAAGCGTAAACATTTGGAGCGGAACTTATCGGCTGCTCATCGAGACCAATTGCTCATCAAAGAAGCAAAAGAAGACTCCAAATTCAAAAAAGATTTGGCTGATGTTATGCGTGAATCATCCAACAAGTTTGCTGAAAGTGTCAAAGTTATTGGTCAGTCGATGACTGATCTTGGTACAGGTATTAGCCGTTCAATTGAAATGTTATCTGGTGCAATTATGCATCAAGCCCACCCAAATAACCAGAATGTGTTTTACCAGCAGCGTGGATATCAACAACATATGCCAAATAATGGCACATATTCCCAATACGTGAACCTGCAACAGGTTCAACAACCTGAACAGCAAAATGAGGAAAGCACATATTATTTCAAGTAATGGTTTGATATTTACAAACTTTAACAGAAGTTTTACTTTAGGAAACTCTTCATATAAACATATATAGAGTTATATTGACACAAAGTTGCTGTTTATAATTTATATTAATGGTGTTATAGACTTTTAATAGCATTATGCACCTATCAATATTAATCCCGGGGGGTAAAGGTGCGGGCAATGGGTGGGGATTTGATCGTGAATTCTATCCCCACAGACGGGCATTTGACAAAGATTTTTGCCCGGGTGCGGCCGGTTTGCCATTCGACATTATTCAACATGCGATTTCAGTATAAAGCTTGGAGCCTAGAATCGAGAAAACCGGAAGTCCGGAAACGTTTTATTTTTATGTCCGCATCCGCTTCTGGCCTTTTGGAATTTGAATTATACAGTACATAGTCTGGATTCTGGGGATAAAATTTACGATGCCCAGACGCTTTTTGTGGCTCGATCTTTATATTAAATGTTAAAATATTTTGCCTTGATCTATCCCCTGGGTGCGTATGTTTTGAAAGATTTGATTATCTTAGAATGTCCCACTACCGGGCATTTGACCCAATTTTTAAATTTTTTTTGTCAAATCCTCACCCATTGCCCGCACCCTTACCCCCCCGGGATTAATATTGATAGGTGCATTACATACTGGTACATCATTGCACTGAATATTGGATAAAACAAGGGTTTTATGTTGAAATGTGTACACTGCATAAACAATGGTATTGGGATAACAAACAATACTCCTTCTTTATTCTTATATTTATCAATAAGATTGGAAACATTAAATTTTGGTATAAAACCACTACTACTGTTTATACATGCATGCAATATTTTCTCAAGTAGCAATGATGTGACCACATATGATTTTTATGCTTTGTTGGGTTGTAATTTGTTAACTATTGTATTAGCTGTGTTTAGAATTGAGGAAGGGAGATCAGATTGTTTACATGTTTCTAAAATTTTGCTGAATCCAATATGGTTGGAATAATTTTAATAAAATTATTTTATTAAGAATATTTTATAGCTCTAGCTGTTATTTTATGACCTGGCTAATTTTAGACAAATATCACTGCTCTCCTCAATTCTGAAGTACAGCTGACATAACTAGATGGTATTTATATGTTAGAAGAATAATATAGTTTTTGTTCTTGTACAAGTAGTGTTATATATTCTTGAGAATCAAGGTTGTTAGAGTCCTTCTCACAACACTCCCCTCTCCCTCATTAGGACAGTAAATTGGGTCTGGGAATTTTTGTATTGTGCTTCATTTTGCTTAATAAGATTTAATTGAAATTGTACCAGATCTTCATCTATGTATGAATTCTTTTTTTCACAAATATTGCGCAGTACAAAACATGCATATATCACCATCGGGATGTTCTCAATTTTCAAATCCATTTTTCTGGTTAAAATCGACCACCTGGCCTTGAGGCGTCCAAACGCGCATTCAATTGGGTTTCTTGCTGATCTGAGCATGTTGTTGAAAATGACCTGTTGATTATTTGAACATGTATCATTTTCCTTTATACAAAATGGCACTAGGGGATAAGCCGGGTCACCAATTAAGTAATTTTGTATTTTCTCCCCACCTTCAACAGGACACTGGAAGGTGCTGGGTAATATGTTTATTGTTAATGGAGGAATTTGCGAATACTTTGGCATCATGTACACTTCCAGGCGACATGCACTCCACATCCATAAAGTATCCCTTTTTGTCACAAACAGCTTGCACATTAATTGAATAATACTGTTTATAACAAAAGAAATCCTGCGAATTCTCTGTTGGGCATTTAATTGGGACGTGTGTGCCATCAATACAGCCAAAAGCTTGGACCATACCGAATTTGGATTCGAATTCAGCCACTTTCTTTCTCATGGCCTCACCGTTTACTGGGAGATGGAAATATTTTGGCCCGAGATGTTTTGAAATAGCCGTACAAACTTGATGTATAACACATGAAGTGGTACAAATGGCTGCACCAAAACTGTTTGCTGTCTTATTGAGGGAGCCTGTATATTTTAAAAATTATAACGTGATTGCCACTTTCTTCTCAGCAGTGAAACGTCGGTAGTTTGGTGATCCAGGTTTAGGTGATATGTAGGGCCTCAGTTCTACTACTAGCTCCATAAAATCGTCCCTCGACATTCGGAAATTTTTCTTCCATGACTCCTCTGGAGACACGCCATTCAATATGTTTTCCCACCATAAATCAGTTCGTCCAGGTTTATGCAAACAGCCACGTTTTTTTCGTCGTAGGTACCGCTGTCTAGCTTTTTTCCACTTTGGACGCCAATAGCTTTGCTTTCGTAATAAAAGCATGCAGATCGCATCTTCTTGTTGTTTTAAATGTATCTTCCAAAGCAAAATAGCCCCATATAATTGCATTATCATAGCTGTAAAGCTAGCAATAATGGAAAGTACTAATGGCACAATAATAAGTTTCGGTCGCGCCATATTTATTATTTGAAAAATGGCGCGAAAAGTCATCCCGGCAAGCCGGGGATGACTTTTTTCATATAAACAAAAGAGAAATTCATCTCGCTTACCGGGCTGTCTCGCTAAGCGGGCCAGCCCGGCTTCCATATAAACAGGCCCTAAGCAACAAACTAGAACAGGCCAGAAAGGTATAAAATACTATATTAAATCATTCCTAAAATAAATAGTCTGTCTTTAAATTTTGACCAAACAATGGACTGTAAACTAGTAAACTACCTTCTGTATATAATCCCACATCAATTGCTTCCATGAGTTCCATCTCTTGAGTAAAATGCTTTCCAATCATATACCGGGTGTCCCAAAAAAAGTACTCCGGTTTGATTCATAATAACTTCTAAACAAGTAAAGCTTGTAAAGAGAAATAACTTGCATCAAATAGAGGAAGGACTAACTTAGATTTTGATATATTAGAGTTGTATTTCACTTAAAAATTCACGGAGATATTAATGTTTAAAATGGGGAGCATGTTTCTGGATGTGTCTGAAATATGCAAAAAAAGCGTATCAAGTATTAATCAACATTTGCCCGACTGGAACATGCACTATTACCAGTAAATAAATGACATTTGTCAAATTGTTTATTATGAAACAAAGTATTATTATCTACAAAATACAAGCAAGATTTATTTGTCCGAAATCCGTGTGCAGGTGTTCCTAGCACGAATACGTTTCCTTATTTCATGAGACCACTGCATCGAGAATTAAGGATCGTCATGAATATCCGCGTTCGTAGTTCTGAATTAGGGCATGCTGGTGTCACAATAGAATTGTGAAGCTCTTCTAACTTCTTCAAAGTTCTGAAATCTTGTTAAGAAAACTCAAACTCTTTTGCCTTTTCTTAATCTTGTTTATCTTGTTAAGTTCAGAATAAACTGAGAATGAAACACAATCAAACCATACAACTCCATAAGTCATAACAAGCAACTCCCCAGAGACATCCAACATTTTTGGAACAAAACGTAACAAAATAGTAGCGTCGATACTGTGATGTGTATTTGCAAAAAGCAATATTATTTCCTTCGTTAAAGAATAATATTCATCCTGCTCTAACCGAGAAATAATCAACTCTGTTTTTAACCCATGAAAAACAAAAAAAAATTAGGCTATTTAAGAAAAATTTAAGCCTGCCTTAGTGGTTTTTCATGTACCTTTATGTTTGTAAAGACCTATTAAATACTTGCATAATTTCGAACATTCATATTTCAGGAAACAATGAGCTAAGACTTACATGCATATATGTTAAGATGTCTAAATCTACGCCATATCCCTTATACAAACCCTAACGACAATTCGTTGAAATACAAGTTAGCCTGATATGTCATTAAACAAAGAAACGCTGGAGTTATATTTGATATGCCGATTTTCGCTAATTTTAGACACATCCGAAAATATGCTCCCGATTTTGAACATTAATATCTCGGTGAATTTTTAAGTAAAATACAACTGTAATATATCAAAATCTAAGTTAGTCCTTCCTATATGTAATGCAAGTTATTTCTGTTTGATAGCTTTACTTGTTTAGAAGTTATTATAAATCAAACAGGAGTACTTTTTTGGGGGGACACCCGGTAGATATATCATAATCGAACAGCTATAAACAACTCTTGAAATGTTTTGTGAAATGTTTCGAAAAATTTTGAATTTTTGCTTAAATGAGCCCGCAAGATCTGCAGCTGGCTGCATCACGGATGGCGCGCGTAAAACATTGGGCGTTTCCAGTTCCTGTCTTCTGGATTGTCTATGCTTGAACAAACTAGTGTATGCTTACAATTGCACAAGATGTGATTCCACCGGATTTTCACCCTTTTGTTTACTCTTTGGCAGAAATCCACCTCTCCCGTTCGATCGGTTATTTGGTTTATGTCCATTGAAGGAACGCGCACAATCATACGAGACTTACGTTGAAAATTGGCGTAAAGCTATGGAACAAGCACATCAGATAGCGTCGCAGAAGGCATCTAAAGCATCCACAAAGGGTAAACGTCAATTTGACAAGAAAGCTAGAGCGGTATGACCGAGTTTTGGTCCGAACCTGAGAGAGACGGGAGGCCCAGGAAAAATAAGAGCATACTGGGAAAAAGACATCTATATTGTGACACAACAGAAAGGTACAAACGTTCCAGTCTATGAAGTCAAACGAGAATCGGGACTTGGAACACCGCGGGTACTGCATCGTAATTTGCTGCTTCCATGTCCATATCTCTGTGATGAAAGTGAAAATGATCAGGACCGAGAAGTAAAGAAAACTATGCAACGTGATCGTTGAACAAAGCGACCAGAAAATGAAGGAGGCAGAAATGGCCCGTGCCTAGAGTCGGAGGGAGACGAGGAAGAACTAACGTTCGCCGGTCCCAGCAGCGTTGAGGAATGAAAATCCAATTCTTCGTGAGAACGAGTCTGAAGAACAAAATGTGGATAATGTGCAAGAGGTTGACTTACTAGATGACAACAATGTTGACGGTAACCAAGGCATTGACGCACCTCCTGATGATAACCGAGAGCAGACAGAAGTACCAGTCCAACAAACTGAGAGACCCCAGCGCTTAAGGCGGCCACCGGAACGGCTAGAATACTATGAACCGGGACAACCTGGCTATGTTCAACCTATCGCTGTATGTACAATGTGCGCACAACGTTGTCAATCGCAGTTGCCCTATGCACCAGTAACTTGTTGGCCTCTACCAAGCGACCGTAAATAAACTATATAAACTATATAAATATAACAATAATATAATATAACTATATAATATAACTATATAATATAACTACCGTATATAACTACCGTATATAACCGTATATAAACTATATGTATTTGTTCGACCCGTATACAATCTTTGCTCCTTATGGAAATCCTTATCCAATGTGTTAAACCAATTAAACATTCATTCAAGTTATCGTTGGTCAGAAGAAAAAACCTTTGACTTTGTTTTGTTAAGTTACACAATACGATTGTAAGACCTTGACTAGGCCAGGTGAAGTAATTCACTAGACATGCCCCTGGAAGTGAATGGTGTAATGTTATTATAAGGCTGCAGCATGGAAAAAGAAGTTTCGTGGTAGAATCTATGGACTTGCGCAACCCGTGGACTATCACATACGGAACTTAGATAGACTCCATCGTTACAATAGGAGGGGAGAGTGTTGGCGAACCTCAATAATGTAGTTTACATGAAGTATTTAGGCGAACCACAATAATGTAGTTTACATGAAGTGTTAAGAGAGAAAAAGAGGAGAACATGAGGCGAACTCGAGATATCGTAAGATTAAATAGAAAACAGAGCTTAAATAAAACAAAATAAAGTCATCCGTGGTATCGTTTTAGTAACAATGTAACACGGGGTAACATATATTATTGTATTTTAACTATATTTCCATTGTAAATATTTCAGTTTGTGAACAAATATATTCTATTCTATTTTATCTGTACCTTCCCAAAGTTGTAGACAAGATATGTTGTTTACGTCTAACACGCATAATATAACATAACTCAAAATGATTCGAGCAAAACCGGTCTTTTGTTAAAAGGAAGACTGGCCATGGTCAATAGAAATTGGCCTTTTTGAGTGACATAATCGTTTGTCGTCATCGATCCGTGTCGTTGAACAATGAAAAAAGTTGTCGTGAAATTAGTGAAGATAAAATTGCAGTTTGTGAGAAAACTGCAGGTCTACGGAGCGGGAACTTTTCGGATTTGAACTCAGCGTGTCCGAAAGTGTTAGTTCCCGTAAAAATATTTCAGTTCCAAGACAGGTGAAATAAAAGTGAACGATATCGGGACGCAGCAAACGGCCCATAAACATTATGCAAGTATTTGATAATGAAGAAAATCTGGGATTTATATTATATATAATTATTTAATTGTATTTATTCAACATATCTGTGAATTGCAACTCAGAAGTTGCTGGGTGCATTTTCATGACAGTACGCTGCCAGCCCATAAATAGTCTACACACGCTAGAGAGTGCATCTAATTATTCAGCAATTAAAAAATTGAAACCGTGGAATGCCCGTGATTGCAGTCTCAGGATATTCCCATGAAATGAGAAGATTCGTATGTTTTCTATTTCTTAAACAGGAAACTTAAACATTAAGTTAAACCTATTCCAAATACACTTTTAAACTATTCAAATGATAAAAGTTATTGTTGTTTTTAAGCGTTTATTAGCGAGTTGGAACTACCAACATGGCCGCCATCTGTTCAAATGGGGGTAACCGCTTGAATATTCTTCGCTTCAATTTTACTAAAAGAGATGCTCTATCTAGTGTATATAACATATCTATGTGCTAACCAGCACTGGGTTCGCTGTGTTTGGCTACATGCCCAACACCCTTTAAAAAAACCTTGCTGGATCCACCCACTGTTCAAACAAACTGCCTATCTTTTTTTAAAATCAAATCTGTCCCCCAGACACGCGTGTCTGGGGGTCAAGACCCGCGTGTGTTGCCTTGCGATTCTCTGGCGTAAACAATTATTAGGAAAACGTCAGAAAAAAAATAAAAGTAAAGTCTACTATAAAGTTTTAGCTGAATAACTGCATTAATTAATAGAAAGCTTTGAGCCCCGAAAATTTGAAGCTTTTTTGTAAAGAATCGGTTTTCAAAAATACATATTCATGTTCACAGGTTGACCGCGCTTTTCGCGTGCGTGAAAAATTGGGACTGGCTTCAAATTTTCGGTTGGAGGAGGTGGCGTTCCAGTTATATTCATTTTCTGGCTTAACCCATTAGTAGGACGGTCCATTAGAGCGAAACGCAACTTAAATGACATATGACTCGAAAATTGACGTTGTTATTTTTTTAGTCTAATTTGAAAGATCATTGAAAATTCTAGAGTAACTTCTTTGATAGATTTTTGTTTTCTTGCTTCGTTTTGAAGATATTTCATTTTTTATGATATGCAAAGGATCAACTTTCTACGTCACATATGCATAATGATTTAGCCCTAAAGGCTGTATATCTTTAAAACGACTAAACACAATCAGTAGGAAACCTATACATGCGTGTTATTGTGGACAAATCTCGTGCTCATCATTCATTTTGAGCGAATTTATTTGATAGTGACAAAATTGTATAACATTTTAAAGTAAGTCATTATGCATGTGTGATGTAGAAAGTTGGTCCTTTACAAAATGAAACATCTCCAAAACGAAGCAAGAAAACAAAAACCTGTCAAAGAAGTTACTCTGCAGTTTTCAATGATCTTTCAAATTAGACTAAATATAACAACGTCAATTTTCGAGTCGTCCCCTTTAAACATGATTTTTGGAGTTGTTGACCAGTAACTCCAGGTTTGAAAGTCTTCACTCGGCCTGTAACCCAAGAATTCTTAAATTTAATTCTGATTTATTTAAGCTTTGAAGAGCACATTTTGAATTTAGAATTATCTTCTTAGAGTTATGCCTCTCTAACTTCTAAGCCTAGCTGCTACTGTAGTTCGAGGAGACAGGGCAACGTTGACCTGGGTCTGGTAACTTCTGTTTTTAAAGAATGTCCTTGTATATGATGAAGTTTGTGTATTTCTGTATGTTACGCCAGGCTACACTTACAGCCACTACATGCAAACTCAAGGAAATTTCGAGTTGACTTCTACAAGCTAGCTAACCTGATGTTTTAAACTGCAAGGAAAGCAACACGCCCATGATTAAATTATATATTCTTGTCCATAATCCTACAGATATACAGCTCAGAAGGTGTTTGGGACACAGTAAACGATGCTTTGCAAACATTAGGAGGTATAATATGATTATAACATTTCTTTCGTACATCATAATTTTATCAAAGGTAGTTAATGCAACTTTAAAGTTAACTTTGTGTGCGTTTTATAGAGTTAACTGCCATTTACAGTCGTGGCAATGGAAGTGTCCCTATAAAAATATTCTACCAATTCATTTGCTCACACGAATCAATTCATTTGAGACATTTGACCAATTATCTGCAACTTCGTGTATTTGATATGTTTCTGGTCACTTCCTGCCTCTGGTCACTTCCTGCCTCTGGTCACTTCCTGTCTCTGGTCACTTCCTGCCTCCGGTCATTTTTTGCCTCTGGTCACTTTCTGCCTCTCGTTACTTCCTGTCTCTGGTCACTTCCTGCCTCTGGTCACTTTCTGCCTCATTAATTATGTATATACAGCTAGGAAGTTATCAAAGTTTATTTAAAAACTATAGTATAAACAAATTAATTGGTTCGTGTAAGCAAATTAATTGCTACAATCTTTTAGGAACACTTTGATTAATCTAACAGGTAGTCAGGGATGCCGGAAGTTGCTGAGGGCAAGGGGTGCAATTGGTTAACAAGAGGGCATACTCCTTAATGAAAGGGCACTAATGAAAATGAAAGGGCGTCATGATCCTACATTCGTGTCAACCTCCCTCCCCGTCACCAAATTTTTTTCGGACCGAATACAATTATTTAGGCACAATTCCGCCGTAATTTCTCGCCAAAAATTCCATACGTAATGCTTTCCGTTTCATCTTTCGCCAAATGGATAACAATTTTGCCGAATTCCTGACGACTGGGGGGTGGAACACACCCACACACATCCTCGAACGACGTTTAAAATTCTGTCTGTTGTAAAAGTTTTGTGCACCCGTTACACCCTTAGTCTGCACCCGCACTGCACCCACAAAGTTGAAAATGCAAAAGGCAAGAGGTGCACTTGCACCCGCTGCACCCGTGGTTCCGGCATCCCTGCAGGTAGTTGAATTTGTCGGTAAACCCAATAAAAATTGGATTTCCCATTGTCATATCTCTTGTTTAATACGTGCTATTTGCATCAAGATACCACCGTTTGATTCAGCGTTCCAAGACCTTTGTACTTCCCAAGTTCGTTTGTTTACAATGCAATGCGTGCGACTTATTCTCCTTCTAAAACGCAAAAACATGTATTTTCGAAACACTAATTCCCCAATGGAATGTTGGAGTCCAATATCTGCGTTCAAATTCAAGCAAATTGTACCGTGTGCTAATTTTATTTTGAATGTAGTTACGAAATTTATATCATCCGCCCCTTCTTGGCACGAGAGTGATTCTTAGAGATGCTGACGTTCTTCTGGAATTGTGCATCCCCGCCTTGCTAATCTTCTTGTGGCTGCACACTGCCATGCCATGTAATGTTTAAATTCTTCCAAGGTTTGAATTTGCATTTATTGTTTCAGGTCTTCTGATCTTGGTTAAATGAGAGCTTTTCCATTTGAAAGAATAATGCGAGACACCAGAATAATGATGATATTTGTGGTAATTCATCAGTCTTGGTAGTTGATTGCAAAACTCTGTAAAGGCCAAGGTAGATGCTATATTTTGTGTTGTGTATTTTTGCAGGGTACGAATGAGATTCTTCGAATGTACATTGCTCTAACTGGACTGCAGTACGCCGGAAAGAAACTGTCTCATCCAGAGGCGTAGCCAGGATTTTTGGTCAGGGGGGGGGCCAGACAAAACCCAGGTGGGGGCCAAAAATTTTTCCGGACAAAAATGTTTTTAAATCTTTCCCCTCCCCGTCGACAACTTTTTTGGTAAAAATTTTTCCGGACGATAACATTGCAATTGCTTTCGGAGCACTTTTCCCGATTTCCGTATCACTTTTTCCGATGCTTCACCAGATTCCGACAGGATTGACAATTTTTTCAATTTATCTGGGGGGGGGGGCAAAATTTTGCCAGGGGGAGGGCAAAATTTTGCCAGGGGGGGCCGGGGCCCC